TTCCATCAATCCTGGCGACATTCACAATCACGGGGTATTGTCTGTTGGGAGGACTCGAGAGTGGGTTTCGATTCAATAAATCATAACCAAGGGTATACACTGAAGTTGTATTTACCATTTTCGATGGGTTTTGACATTTAAGGGGGGTTTTAAAAACTGGGAACAAAGGAATGGTTGACCTTTCGATGGCGATATAAAGTATTCAATTGTTCATGGGTTATAAATGCACTAAATTGTTCTTTTTTTTTCAATTTGAGTAATAACTGCATTTGAATCTTCAATTTAAATTTAGTTTAAGGATATCCAACACTATTAAAAAATTTTATCTGAATTTTCCGTGTCAAATTCCGGAAATTTGGCACTTTGCAGGTCTCAAGTTGAATCTCGATATTGAACCGTTGGAAAACATTTTGAAAATCGAAAAAAAAATTAGAAGGGATCTTTCGATGTATTGAATCTGCTCCACTCCATTAATCATTTGCACATGGCACATATAGTTTTTCAGCAGCGCCAATTTTTTCTCTCAGTGTAAAATGATATTTTAGCCAAAATAAAAATTTAAAACGACCCATTTCGCCTCAGCCTTCTTTAACATAAAAAAAAAATTCATAAATAAAGTATTGACCTAAGAAATAGATGAATTCATTCCACTCCAAATATTCCCGAGAATTTCATTACACTTTCTGCATTTCAATTTCAAATATAAACCAAAATCTCCATAATTATCCCGCAAAACAGCCAATCACTCGCTCATCAGTCCAAGTTATCACCCATAAAATGAAAAGTTGGTAAATAATTACAGTCGTTCGCGAAATGAAATAAAAAATAATAATCATCCCCGCAAAGCCATTTGTGCAAACCTCAATGTGCAGAGCGTATCAAAAATAATGACGTTATATTCAGAGCATCATGCTGAACCCTTCTCACACTCCTCAGCCGTCGTGGACATCGTTAATGATTTAAAACGTAAAAGCGAAGGGAGAAGGAGGAAAAAAAAAGTTTTTCTTCTCGTCAAAGGAGTTTAAAGTTATATTTACCGGTTGAGCCTCAGGCGCCGGAAACTCGTAGTGGCAAGGCACGAGGGTTGAGACTCACCGGCTATTAAACTGTCGTCCATCGGTAGGTACTGTACGGCAACGAGGCATGTCTTGATAAGACGGAAAGAGCTTTCATTTTATCCAACACCTATAAAGGGGTTGAGAGATATATCCCGCAAGTCGTACAGTAGACTCTTGTTACAGCCGCTCCCGTTATAGTCGCATTTCCCCTTGATCGCTTTTTCACCAGTGCGAACACTTCCCCCACTCCCTATCGCTGTCGGCTCCCGAATGTAAACACATCAGTGTTTTCTTGGATGCACTTTTGTTTCACCTTTCCATGAGATCGCTAATGTAAAATGCTCTGACAGTAATTTGTCGAAAAAAAAACAGCGCATGGTGGAAGGGGTGGCGAGGGGGGGGGTGAAATATAATCGCATGCGCTGAATGGCCTTCCCCTCCAGCCCCGGTCACGCGAATATAACGGAATATAACGCTTTACACGGTTTTAAGAATATCGAAGGATCTTTTATAGTCATACACTATAGATTCAACCATTTTCAGTCATAGAATTTGTCAATGGAGGAACTTTCGCAGTAAATTTTGGAGCTATGAAGTGGGGGAAAATATCAAAGGTTCAACTTTCTAATTTTCTTTTTAGATTTTTCGAAGGTGTTTTAACGGTTCAATATCGAGATTTAAATTCAGACCTGCAAAGTTTAAATAATAAAATCATTGTAAAATGTCCGGAAACTTGGGATCAAATGGGGCTCCAATAAAAGCTCTGATTTCAATTTTTTTTTTTCAACACTACTCTGACTAGAATAAACCTGATCATCAGATTTTTTTATCACTCAAATTTGGTGGAAAAATGCACTGAATGGGAATTAATTCCTAAAAATTAGGAATGGATCTCTGAAAATCAGTGGCATGCCCCTGAATATCATTTTTTTTTTCTCGGTGCAATACCAACATCATGATGAATATAACTGATACAATAAAACATGAATGTCAATTAAACCTTGCTTATGAGGAGAAAAAAATTGAGGAAAAATTACTAAAACAGTCGAGTAATCGTGGAGTTAAATTCCTTTCTGGGTCGGGGTGAATTCGATTTGAGATGGAACTGATGAATTTTTTATTTAGGAAGGTATGGTAAAACGCATCTCCTTGAATAATTAATAACTGGTGATCTGGATGCGTCAAGTCCCATTTGTAAGGTTCCGTAAATGAAAAAAAAAATATAATTTCACTGTGCTATTTAAATTACTAGAGATTTAAAGATTTCTGTGAAAATTTCATGTAAGAACGGGAAAAATTTTCTTCGTGTAGGAATACAGAAATATGTCTTGATGCATGAGATATAATTCCTATTTTTTTTTTTTTTTTTTTTTTACGGCCTCGGAGTCCCTTTTTCGGGTCCCATTCGGCACTCTATCCAACCCTATGCATGCGGCTGTGGATTCTACACTGTACCGCATTCGCACTTCTATAGAACATAGAAGTAGCATGGGGAAACCACAGAAAACCCATGCCGGTACAGGCGGTTCCTCTAGTAGCAACCTCCCGCTCGCCGGAGCCTTCCGTTGAAAAATTCGGTTCCACGGGGAATCGAACTCACAACCTTTCGCACACTAGACTTGCGTCTAATCCACTCGGCCACCGACATCGGTTTATAATTCCTATTCTAACGACAAATTTTAATTCAATGAAGATCAGCGGGAGGAGAATGCACCGGAGCATAACCTCGCGAACCAAAAAAAAAAAACTGCTCCGAAGTTTTTGGAAGGCCATTAAGAGAAAGAACGGACGAGAAACTTTTCACCGTTAATGGCAGTTTCATTCTCTTCCCGAAGAGCGATAGTTTGCCGATAACTTTTCTGATATTGATGATTAATAAAAGTTTATTCTGGACATATTCCCGTTCAGTTAACGAGATATACTCACGCCTTAGGATATGGAGTCAAGATGCTTGTAGATACGTCTACCAACAAAGTTTCATTGCAAATCGCATGTTTCTATGCGAAAGTCCTTATGTACATCCGTTTGACCAACCCTTATTTGACTCTCGAACATCACCGCAGAACACAGCTGAACTGGGGCTTTGATGCGGCTCGTGTGGATTGGGATTGGGGTGGGATTTTATTTGTTTTTAGAGGCCTTGATTAAAGGCTGTATCTCCAAAAAATTACTTTTGACAAAGATGATGTTTTCTTTGATACAAGAAAATATTCTCTTGTCAATTTCTACTGAGAGAAACAAGTCCTTCAACAAAATGAGTTTGTCTTGCCCCGAGAAAATTTTCAAGTGTCATTGCATCAGTCTTGCCATAAATTCATATAGTTTGCGTTATATCTAGGATTCGGGAGCTACTGCAATTAAGTGGGTTATCTCCATTCAAGACTTCAATTCAAAAATTCAAATAGGAAGAATTGTCTTCGAGTTATTAGAAAGGAGAGCCTTAATTCTACATTTTTCCCTCTCTATAGAGATTTATGTACTAAGATATATGTATGCAGTCAAATCATGTCTTGGCCCTGTGGAAATGTCAAAGTTCAAGTTCCCCCGGGCAATTTATTGTGCCACTTCCGGCGATCAATATCCGCTTAACACTCATGTGCACAAAATGTTGATGAATAAAACTTAATTTCACGGAATTTCAACGGCTAATTTGCCAAAATAAATAACTAACATTGATGTTCATTTGTGTTTTTACTCAGGTCAATCGAATAGTTTTTTTAATATAAACAATTAGAAATGCCTCAGACCTTGACAAAAATAAAATTCCTGACAGTTTAGCTATTTAAACAGAGCGTGAAATTCTCCCCATGCCAGGGAGGTTATTTCATGATGAAAGTCGCTCAGGAATTCTCAAAGTGTCGATGCGTACACGTTTCATGCGCGGAACATACAATAGCCAGACTACTAGCTGGTCCACCATTGGGAGGGTCTCACCATCGATCGATTAAACGATCGACATGGTCAATTGTCCGGTTCTGTGGGTCTTTCAGTTTTATCGTTACACCACGCCTTTACTGGCATCCTCCAGACTGCTATTGCAGACTGTACACATGCCCGATAACGACGGCTCGTTATCCAGATGAATAATACCCCTTTCACGACGGAATTTTCGGAAAGCCCTTGGATGCTTTGATGGGGTATCAACGGAGGACGCAAGTATTCAACTGTGTTGAGTGGAATTGCTGGGAAATATTCGGGAGAATTATTGAATTCATTTGACTAGAGTCGAGTTATTTCGGGGAATGAATGGACCTGGACTTGAAGTGGATTAATATTTATTGGGAATAGGACTGGGACTGATTGATTCCATCGCATTTCGCATCGGATTTCTGGGGATTTATATTTTAGTGCTCTTCCAGTTTGTGATTTAGTGGATTATTTTATGAAGAAAGGTTATTTTGAGTTATTTTAAATTTTATCCACAGAAAAAACAGTTTTTCGTAACGTGGAGTATTTTTAATCTTCAATAACTCAAGATTGACAGAGTGAAATTTCAAAACATTTTTTTCCATTTTGAAGATTTTTTTTCAGACCTCAAAATGAGACATGATTAAATAAAATCGCATCATTTGATCACTAGATATACACTGTTAAAAATTCTCGACTGAATTTTCCATACCCCAGATTCCGGAAATTTTTATCGTGTTCAAGTTCCACTGAAATTTGAAGGAAATCTTTTCATTAAAAAATCAAATGTTCCATTGATTTTTTGTTCAAATAATCTGGAAATCAATAAAATACTTGATTTTTCAGTTGAATTATTCTGTGAAAATTTAAAAAAATCATATTTTGAACCAGACGTTAGTAATAATCTTAATCCTTCCATCGGGGCATCCTAGTGAGATTTAACAATTTAATTTCAGCATATTTAACAAATATCCCTTTAAATTATTAAATTGGATACCCAAATTCTAATGGTCCTCATCATTTTTATAATTCTAGCCGGAGCCGCTCCAGAGGAAACCAACCAAAGGTCCAGCTCTGCACACAATCGCCACTCTCTCACGAAGGGTGAGTACCCACCACTACCATCAAAATTTTCAACGTCCTTCAATTATTTACCCCCAAAACTCAATACAATGGCTTCACGTGCCTCTATTTATTCACGAAATTGACCAGAACAGCTTCCACGCTTAAAATCATGCAACAGTGTCGCTGGTGAATCGTTAATTCTCTCCATTCCCGAAATAGGAACCTGCTGCCCGTTGTATGAGAAAATTAATAATTCCCAGAATTGGTTTTTTTCATCTGTCCGGACGGTCTTTTAGTCATTCATGGACCCCTTCAATATTGCTTTCATCGGATTTCCATTGGGATTTAGAGTAACAGTGCTTGACTGAGTGGCGATTCTCCGCCAAATGAAATTTACAGACATCCGCTACTACACACTCTGGAAGGATTGAACGGATCGATGCTCATGAAGGGAGAAATTCAATTCGATTCTTTTCCGCATCTTTCCCATTCACAAGTCTTCAAAGCCTTGTCTTCATAAAAAAGGAGGAGTGAGTGAGTGAGTGGAGAAAAGAGGGAGATTTGCTCCTCATTTGATGAAAGAAACGTCTGTTATGACACAAACAGTTCTCGAGATATCCACTTTTGCAATTTATAGAACTATAAATAACTTTGTTTTGTCCACTGCTTTATCTTCACTAGTCTGCCGGCGTACTCTCGCGCGCCTTTATGACGTGAACGTAGACGACTGAGATGACGGACTCAGTTACGAGTGTGACAGGCTTTCAAGAAATAATATCATGACTTTTATGTGCCTTTTAAATAAGGATTTTCTCTTCAAATTATTATGCTGTTCTCGAATTTTTTTATTCTGAGATGTGTGATGATTATTATATTTTTGATTGATCATTGCTCGTGATTATTTCCTCCATTCCGATTTCGACCAATCAGAGTATTCGGTATCAGGTTCTCGTGACACCGTCGTCAAACTAGTCAACTTTATTTTGACTAGTTCGACGACAAATAGACGTGAGAATAGGCGAATGAGAGAAAATACACTCTGATTTTTTTTAAACGTCACAACTGATATTTACATTATTTACGTTATAAAAAAACAGGTATATAAAAAAATTAAATCACAATTATTTTTGTGTAAAACAACTTTAGTGGTTAATTTTTACTTCTTCTTTACCAAATTCTTATAAAAATGGTTCATCCTATAAAAATTTTCGGCAAATTTTCCCGATTCCTTCAATGGAATCACTTGAAGACTTGGCTCTTCTCAATTTTTCCAGATAAAAAATGACCGTTATTTAATGGCAAATAATATTTCAAAATTTGAGAATGGAAAACCTTCAGTTCTCCCTAGACTCTCCCTGTCACTACGTTTATAACCCCCAATTTTCCTAATGGCAGTGGAAATCCCCAGTGAAAACAGACGTATTGGATCCGTGATAGCATCTCAACTGTTACCTAGGAACTACCGTAGAAAAAAAAACTGCATCCCTTAGAGGGTTTTCCAGTGACGACCGCTGAAAGGTGGTCTCGAGATAGCACACCGATCGAAGTTCGATAAAAACGTGGAATAAACGCCATCGCCAGATGCTGCTAGATATATTTTCCCCCTGGTCATCCCGGGACACCGCTAGACAGAATGACCAGTGCAATCGTATCTCTCCATCGATGCTCCTCGACCCGTTATATGTATTTCTCACATTTTGCAAGAGATTTCACATCGATGATCTGGGGAATTATCGCGTGGGCCAAGAATTGCACTATGAGATAAAATCCATACATAAATGTATCAACATGAAAAATTAACCGTGGAATTATACAAAGTTATCAGTTAAATACCGTGTTAACTATCTAAAATGACAGTCGACTAGTGCAATTAGTGCTATCGGCTGATATTTGGACACACTTCTAAAAAATTACCAGCCAGTAGTCCATTAATATATTCCACCAAATGAATTATGCCTTTAGTTGGAACAATTGCAGAATAGTCAGTAAAAAAAATCTTTCATTCCAACGCATGAACCCTCCGCCCCCCCAAACAAGAAGAAAAAGCAAATAGAAACGTGACAAAAAAAAACGTCGAAAAGTATGAGAGAAAGAACATGAACTACGAGCTTAAGCAAACATCTTGTGATTTAAAAAATGCTGAAAAATCCTCACTTCCTAACACACTTCTAACACACGTGTGTTAGTTAATTTCCAGGTAGTGGAGCCCTGGGTGTTGGAAAGTGGGTCGGTAACACAATGGGATAAGAGCCCTCTATCATCGGCTTTTGCCAGAGTACTTTTTTTTACCTTCCACTCTCACTCCCTTTTCTCTCCTTTCTTCCTGGCTTTTTCTCCACTTTTCTCGAAGCCCACATCGCCCACTTGACTTACTCACGGCATCATACATCTTCGGTTCCAGTGGCACGGCAAAATAACGCGTTTGAGGCGGGCTGGAGAAAATAAAATAAAATAAAATAAAAGGGATGCGGCTGACGAAAAAGTTGGAGATTTTTTTCCCCCCAGTTAACTTTTTTCTTCGGGGAATTGAGGACCCTTTGAGGGTCATGCCGTGGAGAAGAATATTTCGGAGTTCAAAGGAGTTTCCAGCAGGCTAATTTGAATGTTAAATATTTTCTGCGGATAGGTGAAGAATAATCAAATGCTTGGGGGAAGGTCGAGGCTACAACTTGATTCTTCTACCGGGTCCCTCTTATAGAGAAAAGAATCAGGGGATTCTCTGTCATAATTTCATATACATAAAATAGGTGGTTGAAAAAATTATTTTCCTTTTGCTTTCTAAAAAAAAAAGCATGGGCAATACCTGGAATTGAAAAGGAGAACTCGAACATGGGGAATATCTCGATCGAATGAAGAAAGTAAGGCGGTTTTCATGAGTACAATCGTCTCGCGACAACAGATTAATTGAATTACTGTGTGAGCTAACTAAAAATTGATAACAGTGTGGGCACGCACTTTTACCAGAGCATTAACAATCACCGAATTGCTAAAATTCAGAAAAAGTGATTTTTAAATATCCATTCATCGCGTTTCATCTGGAAATGATGGAAGAGGAGGTATTCCTCCCTGGAAAATATTGCTCCCCAGTAAAAAAAATTATTCGTCTCATACTGCCGTCCATGGACATTTGGAATTCAATGATGCAAAACTCCTAATGAAACCCGGAAATAAACCTTGTTGCATAGCTCTCTCTCTCTCTGTCGTGCTGTCACCCATGGAAAATCAAATTTTCTTAATTGCCATGGCAAATGGCTTTGGGCTTGACGTTCCCTTGATTACAACTCACCCAGCGCTGACGAGACATCACCTCTGGTGTAATTCAATCTTCGAGAGGACCAATCATTCTCACATGCATATTTATAGGAATATAAATCCGATTTTCACTCCATCGCAGAATTTTATTCCGTTCTATTGGATTTCGTTTTAGTTTTCCAAGGTTATTTCCAAGGAATTATTCAAAGGAGTAACTCATGTAAAAACCAAAAATCTATTGACTTTCGTCTGTAAAATAAAATTCGGTTAAAAAACAAATAAAAATTCAAAAAGATTTCCCATCAAGACAACTCTACCAAATAAACAATTCAATAGTTTTTAAAGCCTGCAATTATCTTAGAAATGACTGCTTTAGGACAAAATGTCAATACACATTTTTATTTGTCATAGAATTTTCAACGCAAAGTGTTTGCGAGTTTTTTCAGCCAAATTACTTCTCATCAAGATAATTCCGCACTCAACAAGATGTGCAGTAGAGTTATCACGTTTTACAACATCTCCATTGAATTCCTCCTAGTTGCATTTCCAGTCATTGTTCCACTCGTCAATTTCTGTCGATGGCACTAATGAGAGGTCCAATTATTGCCCAAGAAACTTGTGGCCGAACTACTTCAAGAGGCGTTTGAAAAAATGGGAAAACACTAACGGTTTCGAGTCACTTTTACCTCGGAACTCGCAATCAACCAGTGGAAATAATGTTCTCATCGAGTTATACAGCCAAACTAATTGCAATTGCGTGTCTCCCGATTAAAACTTGCACTTTTATTGGCCATGAGTCCGATTATGATTTAAACTCACAACGAATTTTCAATTTTCCTCAGAGCAAACGATGCATTGGTTCGCCAATGTTGGGGGTGACGAGGAATCGTTGAATTGGTCAGGTAACACTGGAGCACTGGAGGGCATGAGAATTGGTTTATTTGTGCATGGTGATGAATTCTGAGTGAAAAATAACAGAAATTTAATGGAGAATCGAGCGAAACGTGTGACGGTTTAATTCCAAAAATCAATGAACAATAATAATCATGTTGGCCATGTTAATTAACTCGATTGAAGTGTGCAAATTTTTACCCGGAGAAATTGTTCATTTGAATTAAATTAACTTTATTGCAATGAAATCAAACAATTTCTTTGTTTGGTAAATTTGAACCAGCAACTTGTTGGTCCAAACAACACTTGTTTAAGAACTTGTTTGTTTTTCTCTCAATCCGTCGCTAATCCCGTTTGATTGCGAAGAAACCGCGGAGATAATGGAACGTACACATGATGCATGATCAATCCCGAGGAAATTGATTACGACATAACTCAGGATTTTGAGTGGAGTGGAATTTCTTGTTTGTCGATTTGAGTTCATCCCCGCATTATACTCCACCCTTGATTAATACTTTCATCGTCATGATGTGATCAGTTGTGTGTAAATCTAGAAAGTATGACGAGTCGAATTCAATGCTTTATGGTGTTATCATTATGTATTCATAACGCTTTTTCAATATTTTTGGAAATTCAAGTAAAAACTGCCTTTGAATTTTCCATGTTCTGAATTTAACCCCAATTTGTAATAAAATCGTTCATGAAATTTCTTACTCATCATTGAAATTGAACAAAATTAAGCTTGTCATATTAAACAATCATTTCTATTATATTTCACTGACAGCTTAAATGCAGCTTCAACTCATTATGAAACCCAATATTATAGAAACCCAACAGCACGAAGACCAATTACAGGATCACATCAATTGTACAAACATGTTGTAATTAATTTAACAGTTGTCATTCAAATAAAAATTTAATTCTAATCTTTAGTAGATTGAGAATTAAAGTGATTTTTTTCCTCACGACATTCAACAAATGAAAAGATAATTTATTTAACTAATAAGTTGAGTTTTACCAATTCACAACTGAAATCATCCTCTTTCCACCTCATCACAACCATCATCACATCGTTGCAATATGATTTATATTCTCGACAGATTCCAAGCGTCGCAGTCTCTACGACGAAGACTCCCTAGATGGTGATCATCCTAATGAGAAACAAGGTATCACATTTATCAGCCGAACTAAGCCGCATATTTTTCGTTCCGTTCTCGAACTGCCATTCACATCTGTTTGCTAATTTCCTTTATTTCAATTTTACGGGAATTACTTCCAAACTCTCTCTCTCTCTCTCTTTCCTTACTTGGCTCTTCACGCCTCAAGTATTCTACACAATGCCAGCAGTCCACTGGACATTTGTGAACACATTATGCGATATGCTGTTATCTAGCTTTTAAGAGTTTTTGCCAGAATCGAATGAAGGAACAATTGTTGCAGGACGAGAGTCAACGGGGGGAAGTGCAAAGGACCTAGACAGGGTGAAGTTGGTGAGGGAGAGGCAGAATGAAGAGAGACAGAGGAAACTCGAGGAGCTCAGGAATCAGGCACTTGCTGCGCAGAGGTTCAGGGAGCAGAGGGAGGAGGAACGAAGGAGACGCATCGATGAGCTCAGGTCGAGGGACATGGATAGGTAAACGATAAAGGACATTTTTATTTTTGAGCTATGTATGGCGTGGTAAGACGGAGGGGGAGGGGGGGGGGGGA